TCTTGCCAACAAGATCCCGGATACTTTCGATGCTCGACAATAATGGAAAAACTGCACATCCATCAAAATGATCCGTAATCAAACCAACTGTGGATCGTGCTGGGCTTTTGGTGCCGCTGAGGTCATCTCCGACCGCATTTGCATTGTGACAAAGGGAGCCCGACAACCAATTATTTCCCCAACGGATATGCTTGATTGCTGAGGGGAATACTGCGGTTATGGATGCGACGGCGGATATTCCATCCAGACTCTCAGATGATGGGTCTCCAATGGAGTTGTCACTGGGGGAGATTACCAGAGAGATGGTTGCTAACCATACCAATTCTGCAACTCTGCAAGATGTCCTAAAGCCGTGACCCCGAAATGCGCTTTGAGCTGTCAATCCCAATACAATACGGAATACGCAAAAGACAAGAACTTTGGTGAAGCTGCACTTTCCAAGTGCAAGTGATTTTAAAACGAGCTATCATTCTTTTTAGGATCCTCCGCCTACTATGTTGGCCGGAACTTTTCTGTTATCCAAACCGAAATCATGACTAATGGACCAGTTGAAGCTTCTTTCACAGTCTATGAAGACTTCTACATTTATAAGAAAGGAGTATACCAGTACACGGCCGGAGAGGTTCTTGGAGGACACGCCATCAAGATTATCGGATGGGGAACGGAGAATGGAACTGATTACTGACTCATCGCCAATTCCTGGGGAACCAAATGGGGAGAAAACGGATTCTTCAAGATTCGTCGTGGCGTCAATGAATGTGGAATTGAAAATAACGTCGTCGCCGGAAAAGCCGACGTGGATACTTTGTGAAATCGTTATGTGATTTCGAGTAATAAATGAACGTTTAAACTAAAAATTTGTTTTCAAGTAATTCTTATCAGACTGGAATCATTGATTTTCTGAATTCCCGAGTTTTCTGAATTTTGCGGTATCTCGTTTTTTGAAACTTCAAAAAAAGGATCGGAAAAATTAATTGAAACAGAGAACATCCATATCAGAGTTATTCTTACAGTGTAACCAAAATAGCAATCATGTCATTTGAATACCTATTGTATATTGAAATACTAATTTTTATTAGAAAACCTTCTGGAATCATATCAAAATTTTTATATTCGAATGTTAAAAGAAGCTTTTTAATTCTGTAACCAAAAATAAATATTAAAATTCATCTCTTCTAGAAATTCCCGTTGCTCTGCATCCCGCCTTTTTTCCTTCACATATCACCTGATGAATTATGAAGGAATCTTAATGTGAAAAAAGGGGCGGAGTATCCTAGGGGCATATCTTGGTGATTTTCTTTGTGCCAATTAGGTCGATAATCAGATGTATGAAATATCATTTACGATTGCTAGCTGAAAAATGAAATTAAAACTTTTTTGTGAACATCCGGTTAACTTAGAAGCTGTTGGAGTTTTTTAAAATAAATTTTTGGTCAGAAGAGAAAATATAGGGAGATTGTTGAAAACGACGACAAAACACACATTAATTTCTACTGATTCTTATCATTTAACTCTTAAACTCTACTCTCCCTCACAGCTCAAAAATTGTTTTTCGTTTTCAAATTGAGATTTTGCAGAAAGTACACTTTCCCTGTTGGTCAAATTTTGTAGAAATTAAATTGTGAAATTCCGGTTAAGATGCTTTCCTGAAACAGTTAGAAATCGACGATCAGAATTTAGTAGGAAGAGCAGAATAACAAGAAGAGAGTCGAAAGATCGAACCGGAAAAAGATTTGGTATAAAAAGGGGCAGTTCGGGAAAGAAGGCATCATCTCGATCAACTAACAACAATGATGGTAAGTAGCAGTGTGTCCTTTCGACACGACTTCGAGAAATTTTTCGAGGAATTCCTCGAGGAATTTTTCGAGAAATTTTTCGAAAAATTTTCGAAAAATTTTTTGAGACGATTTCATTTTGAACACTAGCTAGCTCGGCAGCTAGGCGTATTATACGTAAAATTATGAGAGGAATCTGGTATCGGTTGCCGAGCAAGAAAACTAACACAGAAAAAGTTATTTTTTGGAGCAGAAAAAACCATACTTGCTAAATCCCGGCCCAGCCCGGGTAGACCCTGGCTGCGGCACGGGCCCGGGCTGGAGAAAAATTTTCCGCCTATTTTATGTGCTAAAGTGGCTTTGATTGTGTTAAGCTTGAAGAGAGCGTTCGAATGGTGGTAAGATGAACTTTCTAGCATAAAAATGAACCAAGTTATGATGAATGGAAGTTTTAGTGGCTCGGGACGTCTTCAGGATTCTGGGCCAGTACGTATTCTGAAGATCAGAAGGCTATCTCTCTTCTGAAATTTTTTTCAAGGAATTTCTCGAAAAACATTTTTCGAAAAAAACTTTTCGAGGAATTCCTCGAGGAATTTTTTTCGAAAAATTTTTTTCGAAATTTTTTTTTCGAGAAATTTTTGTCGAAAATTTCTCGAAAAAGGCATTTCTCGAGAAATTTATTCTCGAAAAGACACACTGGTAAGTAGTAAGAATTCTCAAGAATCTACTTTCAGTTTTTTCAGAAGATGTTTGTCTTTGCCGCACTGGTGGCAGTCACTTTTGCTGTCGTCCCAATCGATCTGAAATCCGAAACCCTCACCGGAAAAGATCTTGTCGATTATGTCAACTCTGCCCAATCCGATTTCATCACTGAGCATGTCGATGTTTCCGAGGAATTCATGAAGTCCCGTGGGATGAATGTCAAATACGCAGCTCCTCACTCCGATGAGATCCGTTCTACCGAGGTCAACAATGTCCTTCCTTTTATCCCACCCTCCTTCGATTCCCGTACCCGATGGTCCAACTGCACATCTATCGAAATGATCCGTGATCAAGCCCAATGTGGATCCTGCTGGGCTTTTTCAACTGCTGAGGTCATCTCCGACCGCATTTGCATTGCTACCAAGGGAACCCAACAACCGACCATTTCCCCAACCGATATGCTTGCCTGCTGTGGAAATTCCTGTGGTGACGGATGTAAGGGACGATACCCAATTCAAGCTTTCCGATGGTGGAACTCCAGAGGAGTGGTTACTGGAGGAGACTTCCGAGGATCTGGATGCAGACCATACCCATTTGCCCCATGCATTTCCTGTCCTGAAGAAAAGACCCCAACGTGCTCCTTGAGCTGTCAATTCGGATACTCAACAGCCTACGCTAAGGACAAGCGCTTTGGTTAGTTGTAACATTTTGAGAAACTCTAAAGGTATTGTAAATTTAAGGAGTATCCGCATACGCTGTTGCCAGAAACGTTGCTGCCATCCAAACCGAAATCATGACTAATGGGCCAGTCGTGGGCGCTTTCACCATGTACGAGGACATGTACAAGTACAAGAGCGGAGTCTACAGACACACTGCAGGAAGGCTTCTCGGAGGACACGCCATCAAGATCATCGGATGGGGAACTCAGAACGGAATTCCATACTGGCTCATTGCCAACTCTTGGGGAGCTAACTGGGGAGAGAACGGATTCCTCAAGATGCGTCGCGGAGTCAACGAATGTGGAATTGAGAGAGCTGTCGTCGCCGGAATGCCCAGAGTTTAACTTTTTGAAATCATTTTTGTCCACTAATTAGCAATAATTCGTAATAAAAATTCAATCATTCCATGTCTGAATTAGTAAAATGAAATTTTTGAGCATTGAAGTTGGAAGACTGAAATTTTTTCCAGTTGGAAGACTGAAATTCCGAAAAAACTGATTTTTCATGAACCGCTGAATCAAACCTTCGCTTCCAATCCAGTATTTTACTAAACTCCTGCCTGAAATTTTCAACGAAACAAGATGTTCTCTCTTCTGGCTCTTATCATGAAATTCATAAACTTCACTCTTCTAGCAGCTCACCACGTGTTTTCGTTTCGAATTGGAGATTCTGCAAAAAGTACAAATGTCCGGGAGTTGAACTTGTAAAAAATGAACTGTAACTTCAGGCGAATTCCGAAACTGATAAGCGTAAAACAAGAGGAAGAGCAGAACAACATAAAAACAGTCCAATGGCTAAAAAACTGCTGGTCACCTATGATCCCTGTGAGTTAACTAGTTAGAAATATCTCAATCGGACCCAATTTTTTATCTTAATTGTTTTGTTATTCCACTTTCTTCTTATGACACCACCATACCAATTTGACTGGGTAGATCCAAAATTATAGGTTTTTTTTTTTGAAAATTCTGATGTCTGAAAAGTTTTTTTCCCAATTTTGATTATTTTCCTATTGAAAATGGAAAAAAGCAGTTATGAAGAGTCAATTGAAAATGTGCAAAATGTTTTGATGTAAGTTCAGAAAATTGAGAGAACTTTAGGAATTTTGGAACAATTAGAGAGCAAACTCTGGAATTCTTGAAATTCCAGCGCTTGCAAAGAATTAGGGTTTTCCAGTTGGAAGACTGAAATTCCGAAATTTCAGAAACTTAAAAATTAGGAAACTCATCAACTTTCAAAATTTGTGATCATAACTTTTTCTTTCCAGGCGTCTCGAAAACAAAACATTCCTCATTCATTTCGTCCTCAACCTTTTATCAATCGTTATCAACTTCTTCCATCTTATCGTTCTCACCCAAAAAACTATGCGAACATCTTCTATAAATATCCTAATTAGCGGAATCGCAATTTGTGATCTTTTTACAATGTTCACATGGGTTTATAAATATTTGAGTTTGGCAGATTTGGAATACCCCGAGTGGTAGTTTTTGGAAAACTTTTAAAAATATTAAAGGTATTTTTTCAGCATCACAGCAACTTCTTTGATTAAAATTTACATGGACGTCACTTCCTGGTCTTCTCAGTACCACTTCAGACGGACTACGTGTTGGCTGGGAATTGTAATGGCGAGTATCCGTTATGTAATTATGAGCAGAATCTCTGACGTGAGGTAAATTTTCGAAAAAATCGTCTAAAAATTCTTCAAATACAATTTTCAGACATTTTAAATGGGCGGATCCAAAAATGGGATATATTCTAATAGTAATCGTATTTGGATCTAGTGGAGTTCTAACGGTGATATGGCAATGGGAATGTCAGGTTGTCGAAAATCGTAACTATTCGCTTGTGGCAAAGTATGACAAATTTTTGAAATTAATTTTTGAAAGGAAAATTACTTTCCAGCTGTGCCGAGCATCAAGAAATAAACGGTAACTACAAGTTTTCTGTAACTTTGAGACCATTTGCAAATCTTGGGCATTATGTGATAGTAAGGACATATTTTATATTGGATGCTACACTGTCAAATGTGAGTGTCGATTTACTTTTTTTCAAGTTTCATAAGTTGAAAATTTTCTTGAATTTCATAATTTATACTTTTCTAACTTCATTCAGTTTACCGCAAATACTATAGAGCGCCACACAAGTCGTTCACTTTAAGCTCATATAATTCATTTCCTATAAAAGATATCAAAAAGTGGCCAATTGGCAAAATTTTTATCGTAATTTCATAAAATGTTGCCAATTTACCGCTTTTTGATATCTCTCACCGGATGAGTTGACTCAAGTTGGGAGTTAGGATGGCGTTCTATTAGAGTGTTTACGGTGCATTTAAAATTTACAGTTCATCCCATGCATCGCATTTCCAACTCTGACTTTTCTTCTTTTTCGTCAAATTCAAAAAATTAATGAGACTCGAGAAACCATTCGAAGAAATAGTACAACAACTGAAGACAATGAAGAAAAGTATGTGCTCAGTGTAAAATTGATCGTTTTCATAACAATCAATTTTTTCATTGCCGAAGCTCCGATCGGAACAATTGCAATTCTGAAAACTTTTCTGGAAAGAACTGATAAGTTATTGTAAGTTTCCAATTAAAAAAAATTCTTGTTTTTTTGTCTGGTACTGTATTATTCTGATTCAAAAAACAGGAGCTGTGTAAGCAACGCTGGTGGCCGTGACCGAAGATTCCACAGCGACATTTACCGTAACCTAAGAATATGTTTCTGGGAGAAATTTTTTTCTCGCTTTTTACTGTTTTAGGTTACGATAGTTCTCGTTGTGGGAATTTCGACCAAGGCCACCTTGTTTCTCTTTCACAGCTCCCATGTTTGTAACAGAAAATATAAGTTTCTTCAAAAAGAATTTCAGTCGACTTTCCTCGGACCTCAATGTTTATTTTGTTATTGTCCCAACGTTGAATTCAATATTACACCCGATATCTTATATTTTTATGTCTAGTCAGTATCGGGAGACATTGAAATCAGTTCTTGGAGGAAAACGAAAAAGTGTGATTTCTGTGCAACCCAGATTGAGCAGTTTTGTGTCTACTCCGGCAATGTGTGTACCATGATAATACTTGATCATATTATCCGTGAATAATGTTCTTTTTCCAATTTTTTCTTATATTTTTTGTTTTTCATGTAATTCAAAAAAATAAATAAATACTTTCTATTAAATTGGTATGTAATTTTTTGTCTAGTACGCCCACCGTCACACTTGGAAAAACATAAAATTTTCAGTGAGAAAAACAAATTACAGAATCTAAACTCAATTTTTTTCGGTAATTTTTAGTGAGTAACAAAACAATTGTTGTGCTCATTTTTCTTTTTCTCTATTTGGAAGTAAAAATATATGGATTCTGGAATTCATGGCTTTCAGAACTTTTTGAAGTAGGTGTTTCGAAATAGTCGCGAAATGATTAGTTCTAGAAAAATGAAAAAATTGATTAGATGATTTGGGACATTTCGCAACTAGTTGGTCTAGAGCGACACGTTCTAGAACCGTTGCGAAATGACCAGTTCTAGAACGCCCGGTTTTAAAATTTACAATCGATTACCGTATTTTCAGCCACATTGCTCATCATCTACACCGGGCAAACTTCATATGCAGTTTCATTTCTGTAATCATCAATATTTTTCATTTTATAATTCTATCAAGAAAATCAATGAGAACCAGCTCCACCAATGTGATAATGATTGGAATTGCAATTTCCGATATTTCCACAATGCTCAGCACAATTTATAAACATTATTTTCTAGTGGATGTTGAGAGCCCAGAGTGGTATATTATGAGAATATGTGAAAAACTTCAAAAAATTTCATAGTTTCAGTGTCACCGCTTCTGTACGGTACAAGATATACTTGGATCTTTCGGCGTGGACATTTCAGGATCATTACCGACGGTGTAGCTCTTGGTTAGGTGTTCTAATGGCAATTGTTAGACTTTTCGTTATGAAAACGATGCCAAATTCTAGGTTTCATTTATTTTTCAATTCTAAGACTTTGAACCCCTGTTTTTAGGTACGGTAACTGGTCAAAACCGAAAACTGGATGTTTTTTCACATTATTGGTTTTTTGTGTCAGCGCAATGTTATCAATATTTTTTGTCTCTAGAAATCAGATTGTGGAAAATAGAGCCTTCCCATTGCCTTTAAAGTGAGGTTTTAGATTGAAATGTTTTTCCAAATTCAATTTCCAGCTGTGCCGAATACCAGGACATCAACTCCAGACCTCCATTTTCTGTAATTTTAACTCCATTATTTTCATCTTCAAATTTCCTTGTTCTACGTATTTTTACCATGTTCGATGCCATTGTGACCAAGGTACTGTAGGTGTCACATTCATTTTTTCGGTGGAAAATAGTCGTTCTTGATGTCGTGAAAAAAAAATTCGAAAATTCAATTTCCAGCACTTTTTTGACATGAGGTTTCAAGACAAATTGAAAAATTCTGGAAATTCTTTAAACAAAAAAAGTTTATTTAACAAATTTTTCAGTTCATCCCTTGCATTGCGTTTCCTTGTTTTACTGTATTTCTGATTCGAGAATTACGAAAATTCCATAATCGAGTTGTTATGAATGGAAGAAAACAAAGTGTCGTTAATGGGGAGAAAAATGATATTACAACGAAATTGATTGTTTTCATGACGTTTGCATTTTTTATCGCTGAAGCTCCATTGGGAACTATTTATTTAGTAAAAGTGTTTTCCAATAGAGATGATGAGATTTTGTAGGTTTTATCATTGGTTTTCTGAATCGATTTTTTTTCAGCTTATTTTCCGTTGACATTATTATCTATTTTGTAACATTGAACACATTAAACTCAATTTCACATTCAATTTTTTGTATAATTATGTCCAGTCAGTATCGAAACACAGTTCGCGAAATTATGGGAATTCAAAGGAGTGCGAAGTTATCAACTGCAAGAAATAAAACTAGTGTAGCTTCTGTACATGATGTTAAAATGAATTGAATAAAGAATTTCAGACATATTTGAAAGACAGAAAAAAATGAAAAAAAACTCAAAGATTTCAACATCATAAAAATGCAAATATCAGATAGTTCTATGTTCAAACCCCCCAAGAACTTTTAAAAAACCTTTAATTTTTATGACATAAAAACTATTAAAAAGTTATGTTTGGTTTTTAAAGGTGGAGAGACAGGAGATTTTACGGGGGATTTTTGGAGCCAGAGTATGCATTCTACCGTAACGGTGTACAACGCTTAATGCCACTCTGCGTACAGCTGTCGTCCTCGCGTTTCGGTCGGCCTAATGAGCCGCGTAGCTCAGTCGGTAGCGGCGCCGCACCCTCAATCCTCGCCTCCACAAGTTCAACTCCTCGAGGGTCGTATGTAAACGGAATTTCGAGAAAATTATTCTTTTCATGCCCCCCCCCCTGCCTTTGAGGAAAAACTCGAATTTTCTTGAACATCTCGAAGTGCCAGTCAGATAAATTTTCTTCAATTTATTCGTGCTACGTAACACAAAAAGTCGTAAGATTTTTTTTGAATACCAAAACAGAACAGGTGTAAAAGTTAGTTTCACTGGTCGTGCCGTTTGACTCAGAGGTTTCACCAATTTTGGAATTACAAGTTGGTGTGTTTTGTTTCCAAAAAATACTGTTGAAAATGAATCTCACCTTATATTCCAATACAACACTTCTGGAACCACCGAGAACTTTGAAAGAACGTTTTTTTCTTTTAATTTTCGTCATGTTCTCAACTTTTCAATTTTTGGGCAGGCTTTGTGACAAGCGGGTAATTAGTAATTTTTAGTTTTAATTTTACAAATTTATTCCAGAAACTTATCTGGAAAACGTTTCCTCATTTCTGTCTTCTTATGACTTTTATCCCTATCACTCATATGGCATTCTTGATTGTCAATACTTTTCGAAATCTTCTTTTTACTAGTAAACTGGGTGTAGACGAAATTCTATGGAGGCTTTTACCAGTTATTATAACCTGTTATCCGATTTTATTTTTTCCACCCGTCCCATTTTGCATAACAATGGTTTATTCCATTTTTCTGAATATTAAGATGGCGCCAGGAAAACATTTATTTGGGCAAAGAGCCACAAAGTAAGATTTTCGAAATTTTGAATTTCTGAGTTTCTGAAAATCTGAAATTCCGAATTCTTCTGAGTTCATATGTTTTTTCAGGAACAAAATCCTGATTGTCATAATTGCAATTTTTTCGGGAATCTATTATATTCGAAATAACAGAGGCGAACGGTGCCTCGTAATTTCTATCAATTTCGATGACCACCCTTCCTTGGTAAGTTTTTTTTCCCTCAATTTTTTTAAAACAAAAATGACTTTTCCAGCAACTAGACATGCTAAAATACCTACCGGTTCTCATAACAACTTTGTATTATTCGAGGCGCTTATACTTTTTCAAATCCGCCAAACGGCCCATCAAAGTTTATACCACGGAATACATCAGAATGATTTATATTGCATTGTTTCTTTTGGTTTTTTATGTGAGTGTGAAAAAGTCAAAAAATATTCTTACGTCTGATACTGTATGTGTAAAAAATGAGATATTTTCAGGTTTTAACACTTCCACAAATCCTTATATCTTTTCTCACTCACCATACAAATTTTTATTCATATCCAACTCGTTTGTTGGGATTCCAAGAATCGTGAATTTTGAGTTATATGTTCATTTACGCAGTTCCTCTGGCAAAATCCCAACGAGTCATAAAATGGTTTAATAGGATAAATATTCATCCAAATGGTTTTTGAGTAGAAATGATTTTTTCGTGTTCCTTCTTTTTCCTTTGAGCATTGTTTTTATCAACCTAATTTGTCATCATTGTTGAACTTTACAAAAAATCAAAAACTTGTTTCTTTGTACCCAATCTTCCCATTTTGCCTGACGATTTGTCATCATTTTTCTTTATCATTCCGCATACTGTATAAAAGTATTGCTTCGATCATCACACAATCCAAAAATGATTATTGTTTTACTATTATCGTTATTCATCTTCACGGACTCTTTTAGAATCCTGGTATATTCCCCAGCGTTTGCCGGTAGCCACACAAATTTTATGGCTAGAATTGCAGACACTTTAACGGAATCTGGACATAATGTAACATTTTTGTGCCGATTTTCGATGAGGCTAGAAGTGATCAATTGGGAGTGAAGCTTACGAAAAATGTCATTGTCATGGAGGTATTAATATTGAAGTATATATTTTCCAGAAGTTTGAGATACAGAAAAGATCACCAGTTCAAACTTTGCTGATTGTACTATTTGCACCATTTCCTTAGTCGATCTCTTTTTGATAATTTTCCCAGGAAACAAGATAAACTGGCTTAACATTAACATTAGGTCCCTATGATTCGAAATTTCCCCCTATGATTCGAAATTTCAGAAAAGCGAGGAGATGAAACTGGACCCTATCACGGTTGACAACATAACTGCAACTTACTGGCATATCACTGTGAATTCCAAAGGGGGTCATTCACTTTTCGAACCAGTTCACAAGCTAACTGTACAAAGTTGTCGAAGCCTGTTCAGTAATTCTGAACTCCTAGAGACTTTGAGAGCCCATGAATACGATGTTGGAATAGCCGAACCATTAATGACTTGTAGTTTGGTACTTTTTAGACATCTGAAAATAGAAAAAGTGATCCTGGCTAGTTCCTGTCCAAATTATGATTCTGTAATGGCAGCGATGGGTGAGCC